TTCCCTTTTTGCAGCAGCAACAGCATTTGCAGTAAGATATCCTGCAAAAGGCTGTAACAGATGGTATAAAACTCCACTGGAGGAAGTGGGGCAGAGCTGGCACAGATTATCATGATATGGAACTTAATGTAAAGTGAGCTTGACTGGGTTATCTCTTTTGGTGCACCCGAGAGAGCCAAAATATGTCAACATTTTAAACAGAATACCAGTTTTATACAATACACATTTTAAAACAAAATAAAATATCAGTTTGCATATTTCAAAACATAGGATGCATACAGCTCAATGATAAAACATTCACACCGTCTCAGAATGCTCTTGATCTTTATCTTCAAGTCCACAGTACAAGCAGCCAATACTACACACTGCATGGGGTCTTGTTATCATGGCTCTGTGTAATGACAGACGCACACCCATGAGGGCTTCAGAAGAGGAACCACGATGCATCACAAAGTCTCAAATGATAGTCACCAATATCATAAATCCTCATGATTGTCAGTACTGGAAAGATATAAGAGTGTTGATTTTATATACAAAATAGGACCTGTTCCAGAATACTCTAGTGAAATAATTCACATATGGAGAATAATTCATTTTGATTTCATGGCAGAAGCGTCCATATTTTGAGTAGGCATAAATATCCCCATCCTCGTTCACCACCTGTCAGCAGGAAGAACAGGCTGTCAGAAGTATTCATGCAGGTACACAAAGCATTACCAATAGAAATCTATAAATATGCAATTAGAAAACATGTGCTTAATTACACAACAATGCAAGGAAGCCAGAACTGTCCATATGTAGGCAGATGTTACATAGATTTACAGTAATACAAGTCATTTAATTATCATAAAAGCTTTAACATTTTAATGTTTCGTTAAAAATATTTTCAGTATTTTTAAAATGACCACATCCATTAAAATACCTTGTGATCCTGTTCTAAGGCAGATCACACATTATTCCTCCATCGACACAGTCAGTGTTGATAAGGGAATCCCTCCTGCAGTGTACTGCGCTCTGTTCCCCACTGGTAGAACACAATCATCACTGCTAGCGGCTATATCCACCATCAGTGACTGAAAGAAAAGAACCCGACAAAAAAGTTGTACAGAAGTCAATCCATGGATCAACTTCAATACAACCAGCCTGCCCACAGATGGATTGAATCTCGGCCCGTCCTTGCTGAACTGGCCAATTCTATCCATCTATGGCCGGCTTAAGGGCTTTTCCTAGGTGACAATGCTCTGTCCCTATCTCCCATTTCCTGCATTGTCATCTAGTCTTCTGATGAAGAATACAAATGGTCATTTCAACAGACATTATACAGACATGACTCAGTGTCATCACAATGGTTGAACTAGATGGACTTTTGTCTTTTTTCAGCCAGACTAACTATGTAACAAACAGGCCTTGTCCTGAATTTACCATGAAGCCATCACTGGATTGTATGTTTGATACAGTACATAGTACTTTATCTAACAAAATGTATTTCCTTTGGGGTCTACACCTACAGTAAATAAATAAAAAGAAAAACCCTAAAATGACATCATATACATTTTATGGTGTACACATAAAAAGGTACTTCAACATACTAGTGGAGGTTTTTTTTTCAGGCCCATTTGGAGGGATGAGCTGCTTCACTTAGATACAGCTTCTCATTTCACACTAGTATGTGTATCACTGCATCCATGAGACCGTCTCAATTCATCTCTATAGATTAACAAAGTTTCTAGTCACACAGTACAAGAAGGTGAAGTAACAGACACTACCACGTCTAGGGAGGCCTTCACATTTGTCATTTAATTTTCAATGCCCATTTGTACAGTACTTTTAACTAAGCTGCATATGAATGGCAGCTCTGTATATCTATAAAGATGAAAAGATCCTGTTATACGCATTATCCCACTATACAAGTGGTGAGCTGCATATTGCACACTTGGTTAATCACTCATTGGAGTAAGACACCATTATAGAGCAGTAGTCCCCAAACTATGGGTGCACTGGCTGGTTGCTGTAAATCATCCCCTGCAATGACACCAGTGCTGGAGGCTTTTACTACTCCAACTGTCACCAAAGCTGGGAGTTTACTACTTCTACTGTCACCAAACCTGGGGGGGGGGGGCCTTCTGCTACTCCCAGATGGGGGGTTTGGGGCACTGTTATTATTCCCACTGTTCCCAATAATGGGGAGAGGGGGGTTATGTAACTACTCTACTGACATCACTACTGACATTTACTTTTCTCACTGACACCAATGCTGGGGGGGGGGGGGGGCTTTTATTACTCCCACAGACCACCGACATAGTGGCATCTGTGATTCCAGCTAACCACTGATCCTGAATGTGCTGCCATATTTTCATGTGGGTCTGAACAGGAATCTACAGAGAGTTGGTCCCCTAAGAAATGTCTGTCCACCTGTTTGGATAAAGCCTTTGATTCTTTGTCAGACCTTGGCTCCTTTGAGTAAGTTAACAAGATTGTCCATATGAACAAGCAAAGCATGCCAAAAATCCCAAGCTAAGAATTCACCAATGCAGTAACTGGCTGTGCTGGATCATTTTGGATGATTATTATTACTTTTCCACACAGGTGATCTACTGTTGGTCGTGCCATATCTATAAATATACATTATCAGAGTACCAGCTTTTGGTCAATGGATGATACCTTAATATCCAACTACTCTCTAATATCTATTGGTAGCTTGAATCACTGAACAACTCCTCTCTCTGGGTAAGTGGAAGGATTTCAAAGGAAGCCAGTGATGAAATGCGGAGGCAGTCAGGGATGACCTTCTGAAAATGCTAGTTACCTGACTATTATTCTGCCACCCTAATTTAATGAATCAACATGATAGCCAGACAACTAGCATTTTTTAGAAGGGCTGGAATGTAAGTTAGTCTAGTTTATCGGAGTTAGCTTTTCCTTCAATATTCTTGACTAAACACCCAAAATTGAAATTTCATTTATGGGTAAATATTGGTAGATTTACTCTCTCTCGCAGGCTTTTTAAGCACTTATAAACCCCCGCATAGCAAGGCTACCTCTCAAAAAAACAAATATTCCTTGTAGTGGCTGCAAAAGGTCCAAAAGGATATTTAATCCACTAATCCACTCATCCAAAAACTCAAACTTCAGTTTTCGGATGATCAGCAGGCTTACGTCAGACATTAACCACAAAGCTTTGTAGCTTTGCTTTTGGCAAATGTCAGACAACTGAAGGCTGTGGGTCACCTCTGACAGCAGGGAAGTTTTGGAAATCAGGAATATCAAACAAAACATGTTATGCTGCTCCTGTCAATGAAAATATGCATGTGACTGTTGCAAAATCCAACTGGTCTTTAAAGTGTTACTAAACCCAGAACAGTAAAATCAGTCTGTAAATGCAGTAAAGCATGCTTGTTATACTCTCTGGGGAACCGAAAGTGGTTAATCCTCTGCACTGTGTAATAAGGATGTTTGATCCTGCTTTTCTGATCCTCCCCTTCTTCCACAGTTCCCAATCCATCTGCTGATAGTACAAAGCTCTAGGAGTCACTCTGCACATGCTCAGCTTAGTGTTTGTTAGGGAATTTTTTTTTTCTTTGGAAGGGTGCATGTGATCAGCACAGGGCCAATCAGCACTGTCCAGACATAGGTTCAGGGGTTGTGCAGTGTCATAGGACAGTCAGAGCAGAATGAAAAATCCTCCAACAAGATTAAGCAGTGCTCAGCCAGACACTGATAGAAGTCACACGACTGCTGTATACCACTGATCAGAAAAGGTATTTAGCTGTTTATATTTACTAAAATAATTGCATTTCCATGTTCTGTGTACTGTGGGAGACCAGATATGGTGAATGCAGGGCCCTGGGGTTAGTAACACTTTAACTACAAATATGGCAGCCCCTCTGTCAGTACTGAGGTTCAATGAGGAATGAATCACTGAATAACTGAAAGGAGCCAAAGCCACTCTATTTGATAAGCCAGTGATGTCATTAACCTCCCTAGCGGTCTGGTTATGTCCATATTTCTGTGCTGAAAGCGGTAAATTTTTTTGCATGGAAATATGTATTTTTTTTATTGTAGGTCTGTAATTTTTAGGAATAACTCACTGAAATCTGTGCGCACAAGAGTCTAGTAAACATTCCGGGTATGATAAAACTTGAAACACAAAATCATAAATATATAATTAAATAAATAATCATAAAAATAATATAATACATTTAAATTCAATATTATATTCAAACTAAAAACACTGAAATTTGAAATATAGCGCCAAGTTCGCACATCGCTGAGCAAAATCGCAAAATCGTTTTCAGTGTCTGATGACAAATTTCCCCACAAAATCATTATCACTCAATTCTGCAAGTGGTTCTGGTTTACTATCGCTGCTCTCTAGCTGGTCTAAAACGCATTTGACCTAAAGGGACGCTTTTTGGACGCCATGGGACTTTTCTAAGTTTCCAGGCAGAAAGAACAGTCAAAATGCAGGCAGGGCACATGACAAAGCACTCGGGACAAAATGTATGTGAAATGGTTTGATATAGTAATGTTTTACTATGTCAAATTCATTTATTAGAAAATGACAGTTTCTAAAAAATTTTTAAATTTGCCACCGGTTTCGGCCCCCGTACGTCCCGACGCTCGCAGGGACCGGAACACGGAAGCCGGAATCGGCCGGACGAGATGGCCGGGGACGCATCGCGGGAGCGAAGGACAAGGTAAGTGCTGCAGGGACTCCCTTGCAGCGCCGCAAGGTAAGCCCGAGTGTAGCTTGGGGTTACCGCTATTGGTACTGAAATTTTACCCCGAGCTACACTCGGGAATACCGCCAGGGAGGTTAAGCAGGACTGGTAATCCCAGCTGGTTATTAGACACTGAGATTCTTGATGACCAGTTCAACTTTTACATGGAGCACAGCCAAAACAAATAACACGGACCTCAATCAAAGGAACACTTATTCTTTTGGGAACCTTTGCAGATTCCCTGCTGTACTATATTGGTAAAACTGTTTGATGGAAAGTTAAACTTACATGATTATTTGCAATATCAAGCAAATCCTTTACTCTGCAGCCTTTCAATCCAGCTACCTCATTACAGATTGAATCTTCAATCACCACATAGTTGGCTTTATAGGAGGTTAAGATCTTGTAGATGTCTTCTGCTGACCTCATGCTATAGATCTGATATACCTGCAATACAAGAAGTATGGTACATATGCTACAAACAAAACTGTGCGAACGTGACTAAGAAATTAGTTCTGCATTCATCCAGTTGTTGATCTGGCTCCCTCTAGTGACCCATAAAAGGAATGTTTTTAAACATTCAGTCGATCCTGAATACAGCAGCCAGACTCATTCACCTTTCCAACCGCTCCATCTCCGCCACCCCTCTGCCAATCCCTCCACTGGCTTCCGATTGCGCAACGGATCAAATTCAAAATCCTAACACTGACGTACAAAGCTGTCCACCATACTGCCCCGAACTACATCACTGACCTAATATCCAAGTACCACCCAGCACGCACACTCCGCTCCTCACAAGACCTTCTTCTCTCTAGTTCCCTGGTCTCCTCCTCCCATGCCCGCCTCCAGGACTTCTCCAGGGTGTCACCCATCCTCTAGAACTCCCTGCCCCAACCCATCAGACTGTCACCTACTCTCCTCTCCTTTAGGCACACCCTGAAAACCCATCTCTTCAGGGAAGCCTACCCCACCCCCTGCTAACTTGCCGACCTCCTCCACTCTTCCTACCACTCCATCCCCCACAGCTATCTCCTCCTGTACCACCATCCCCTCCCTCCTAGATTGTAAGCTCGAAAGAGCAGGGCCCTCGATCCCCTCATGTTTTGCATTGTATTGTTATTGTTCTGTCACATGTTCTGTCCCCCTTTGTAATGAACAGCGCTGAGTGAACTATGGCGCTTTATAAATACTGTATAATAATAATAATAATAATAAAAAAGAGGCACTAACTTGAATGCAATCTGTGTTCAATAGTCAAGGGGAACTTTAGCTTATATATGTTTTATACCAAGCAAGTGCCAAATCCTACTTTAGTTATTAAACTATAAAGAGATATAATCTATGTCAGTGATTCCATAGGTTTTGCTGAATGACTCCTGTAAGAACACCTAGTACAGGCCAGGCCATTTGATATTGCATTGTATTCCAAATTGTATTAAAATTTAGAAAGTCTTTGCCAGTTTTTAAAGCCACCCCTGTGGTAAAAGTGTCAACAAAAACCTACAGGAGTGAAAAATTGTGCTTAAAGTCAATGGTTTTGCACAGAGCAGACCTGGACCTCCTATTCTGTGGTCCTCCCTTTGTGCTCCAGGCTCCTCCTCATCAGCGAGTGCCCCCATAGCAAATGCTTGTGGTCTCGATATTGAGCCGTCCTGCCTGCATACATACACAGGCAGCGCAGCTCAGCCGCACCCCCTGCTACCTTGACACAGGATCTGACTGACAGTAACAGAAGCTAACTGCTGCCTCTCTGAAAGAGAGAGCGGAGAGATCTGCTGCTCCTGGGCACAGCACTGGATCGAGATTGGGCTCATGTACATGTAAGGGGGGATACAGGGGGGAATACTGGTCGAAGTCGTCTTTTTTTACCTTAATGCAAAGAATGAATTAAAGTAAGAAACCTTAAAGCGGAGCTTCATCTAAAATGGGAAGTTTCGCTTTAAGTACTGGTTACCCGCTCTCTGTGAGGAAGTGGCACCTTTGTGGGGGGGGGGGGGGGGGGGGGGAACAGGTACCCATTCCCACTTCCACTAGGATTGCCTAAGCGATTGGAAGCAGATATTGTCTTCCTCCCTCCCCGTTGTGTTCTGGGACACCAAACAGGTTCCAGAAGACTTTAAAGCAAACTCTCCAGACAGAAGCATGCAAGCGGGATACTGAAATTCCCACAGGCACAGCAATAAGCAGAGGCCTTCAAACCTCTGACTACAGGGACAACATGTCAGGCTTAACCCAGCCTCAGTGTGTTCAGCATTGTAAACTCTTACAAGTCTGTTGCTGCTCAACTCCTGAACAGTATAGTAAAGGAAATGTATACATTACATGTTCATTCCTCTTCATCAGTTCTTCATCATTGTACACTGGTAAACTTGTCACCATCCATCCGGTGCAGAGTTTTATGGCACCCATCAGCTGAGGACTCCCAGCAAACACTGCAGCTAAAGGAGCCTGACCTCTGCAAGCAAAAGGACAATGAAGCTACTATATTATTTAATGATATATACATGACAAAATCCGCTCTTTAGTGTGGCATAATTTGTCAGTAGGATCACCTTATAGAAAAATGAAATACATGTACAAACAGTGAATAAAAAAAGTAGCGCTTAAAGACACAGCCATGCTCCCATGTCACCTCTCCACTCCATCAGTGCCCTTGCTCCATCACTTGATGCCTGGCTCTGTCTGACTGCAATACGTTTGGAGTCTTTGACCTAGATTAAGCATGCAGCTAAATATCCAATGTCTATATTTGTTCTGGGTTAGTGAATGAAACAGTAAGCCACTGTGTTAGCAAGACAATCAGGCCACTACAATTTTCACAAATGAGAGATAAATAATGGCAGCCTCCACATTTCTCTCTTGGCAGGTTATATTTACAGAGAACAAGCTACAAAAGGGTTTAAGCTAGAATCTGAACATTTAGTCTTAGATATCTTTTATAGGCAAGATTGCAGCAGGATAATGTACAGTGGCAAGAAAAAGTATGTGAACCCCTTGGGATTACGTGGAGTTTTTGCATGAATTGGGCATAAAATGTGCTCTGAACGTCATCTAAGTCACAACAATAGAAGAACACAGTCTGCTGAACATAATACTACACAAACAGATGTTGCCATGGTTTAATTGCACATAACATGTAAACATTCACAGTGCAGGGAGGAGAAAGTATGTGAACCTTTGGACTTAACTGGTTGACCCTCCTTTGGCAGCAATAACCTCAACCAAACGTTTCCTGTAGTTGCAGATCAGACCTGCACAACGATCTGGAGTCATTTTGGACCACTCCTCTTCACAAAACTGTTTCAGTGTAGCAATATTCTTGGGATGTCTGGTGTGAATCGCTCTCTTAAGGTCATGCCACAGCATTTCAATCGGGTTGAGGTCAGGACTCTGACTGGGCCACTCCAGAAGGCGTATTCTGTGCTGTTGCAGCCATTGTTTTGTTGAATTACTTGTATGCTTTGGGTCATTGTCCTGTTGCATCACCCATCCTCTGCGGAGCTTCAGTTGGCGGACAGATGGTCGTACGTTTTCCTGCAAAATGTCTTGATAAACTCTGGAATTCATTTTCCTATCAATGACAACAATCCGTCCAGGCCCTGAGGCAGCAAAGCAGCCCCAAACCATGATGCTCCCTCCGCCATGTTTTACAGTGGGGATGAGGTTTTGATGTTGGTGTGCTGTGCCTTTTTTTCTCCACACATAGTGTTGTGTGTTCTTCCCAAACAACTCAATCTTGGTTTCATCTGTCCACAGTATATTTTGCCAGTAGTGCTGTGGAACATCCAGGTGCTCTTTTGCAAACTTCAAACGTGCTGCAATATTCTCTTCTTTTTGGACAGCAATGGCTTCCTCCGTGGTGTCCTCCCATGTACTCCATTCTTGTTTAATGTTTTCCTTATTGTAGATGTGTCAACAAAAATGTTAGCATGTGCCAGAGATTTCTGTAGGTCTTTAGCTGACACTCTGGGATTCTTCTTTACCTCATGCAGCATTCTGCGCTGTGCTCTTGCAGTCATTTTTACAGGACGACCACGCCTAGGGAGAGTAGCAACAGTGCTAAACTTTCTCCATTTGTAGACAATCTGTCTTACCGTGGACACATGAACATCAAGGCTTTTGGAGATACTTCTGTAACCCTTTCCAGCTTCATGCAAGTCAACAATTCTTGATTGTAGGTCTTCTGAGAGCTCTTTTCTGCGAGGCATGGTTCACATCAGACAGTGCTTCTTGAAACCAGTAAACCCAAAACAGGTGTGTGTTTTTTAAGGGCAGGACAGCTGTCAGCAACACATCCAATATTGATTAAAGTCAAGGTTGGCTCAGTCCTGGCTCCAATTAGCTCTGGGAGAAGTCATTAAGCTAGGGCCTCACATACTTTTTCCTCCCTGCACTGTGAATGTTTACATGTTATGTGCAATTAAACCATGGCAACATCTAATTTTTGTGTAGTATTATGTTCAGCAGACTGTGTTCTTCTATTGTTGTGACTTAGATGACATTCAGAGCACATTGTATGCCCAATTCATGCAAAACTCCACGTAATCCCAAGGGGTTCACATACTTTTTCTTGCAACTGTATATATCCCCTTGTTAAGCTATACTTAGTTTAACTTACTGCATGTCTAAACCCCAAAACAAAAATGCAATTTATTGCAGCTTTTCAGTTCTTAGATGTGGTAAGCTGCATTCGTTTTCTTTTTTCAGGCTTCTTGTGCTATGGTGACAATGTTCACTCACTGTACCGTATCTTTGAGGAAGCAACGCTGTCACCCTCAGACAGGGAATGTGTTAGGACTACAGAACACCTCCTCCTCTCCATCATATATGGAGGTGTTCTGCAGTTCACAGAGGCGAACTAGCCACCTGCTTCAGATAAAGCAGCAGACCGAATAGGACAACACCGAATTTCCAGATGGATAATTTTTTTCCCTTATCAAACAGGTCAAACATTTTCAATTATATATTTAACAGATCAAAAGGGCAATAGCATTTTGTTGAGGTTTACATACATCTTGAGATGGTGCTTAGAGACAAGAGTCAAAGCTGGAAGACCCACTGTGGCTGGTAATTTATAGGGAAACAAGGTGATGAAAACAGAAGTAGAGACAAAGTTTTAAACATGCTGGCAGGTAAGATTTTTATGACAGAATAGTGAGATAAAAGTTCCATATGCATGTGCAGGAGTTTTGTCAGCTCAGCCCGGCCAATCTAGAGGCCAAGGGCTCCAAACTTGAAAGATTGCTTAGAGAAAATAGAACAGCTGTCGATGGAGGGAAGTGCTGACATTGCAGCGCTGGAAGGAATCACTTGCATGGTAAGTCTGCCATATATGCTATGCTTACTAGCTAGCTCATGGGGGTCAAAAAATAATATTATTGTGGTGGTTTTACTTCCTTTTTAGAGGCAAGCTTCACCATGTTACACCCCCAAACTGTTCCTCCCTGTAACAGCACGCGGGGGTTCTTCTCCCCCACACCAGCTGTCACTTTTGAAAATTGGCACAGTTGTCCTATTAACAGAGATCCATGAACAAATAAACTACAGGTCCCATCTTCCTCCATGGCAGACAGACTTGTAGTTCGCCATGGAACACAATTGTTATCGCAACACTCATAGTCCATTGACATTTTCTTCAGCTCTCCAACTGAAAGCCTGTATCTTGGTATGGACAGAGCTGGAGGAAGAGTCTGCAGGTGCCTGGAAATGCACCTACGACCCACTTATTTCGGATGCATTGCTCTGCTTATAGAAAAAAATAACGAATGCACTTTTTTCCCTGCAAATACGTGTATACTTATTCTTTAGGGTGAACTTATCCACTAACAATATTATTACACACTACACTTAGTCACCTTTAGCAACCAAGCTTTAGCCTGGGAATATCTGGTCTTGGTTAAGCAGACAGTCATTGCTATGCTGACTTACTTTAATGCAGTAAAACCTGTATTATTTATGGAACAGAGATCAGCACAGCTGCTGATGACTAAGCATTGTGTACTAAACATTGAATAATTAATGTTTAGTACACAATGCATGTTCTACAGAATTTCTTTTGGACCTATGGTATGTGTAGATATAAAATGTTAAAACATGCATGTTTGGCTTAAAGACCTATAATTAAGCTCAATATAAGCATAAATGTCCTGAAAAAGAATTATGAGAATGTCCAAAAGAAACGTTAGTTGTTCTAAAGTGTATACAAAAACTAAAGGGATCATTCAGCATTGATGGGGTAATTAGGGTGTTAAAGCTGATGGGAAACAAACACAAAGCAGAGGGTGGGGTTGTTGCTTTTATGTTTTGCCTGAAATAGAAGTCTTATTGAAAAAAAAGCAGATCTCAAGAAATATTGTAGTATGTGTTTAACCAATCCCATTAACACTATACTGTCAGTGTAGGATGCAATTGACTTTTAACTATACAGAAAGAACACAATAATTAAAGAAAGGAAGAATCAGTTTACAAATCTGCCAAGCTCTGTGGTGCCCCTTACATGATATATAAGCTTTGGAAATGTTGCTGTCGGCTCTGCCATTACTGTTACCTCCTGGGCTTTATGCATAGCCTCTGAAGTGAAACCACAGGGCAGCTAGTTCAACTCAACTAATAGGCATAGACTGGAACTGTTCTAATTATGATACAAACGTGTTTTTTTTTGTTTTTTTTAAAGGACTCTTAAGAGTACTGAACTCTGCAAGCTAGGCCATGAAAGAGGCAAGCAGAGGGCAAAGGACTAGTCAACAGTATTACCCATGGTTTCCCTGTAGCAGATCTTTCCCCATTACTGACTTCCCATGCCTTGTTCTGTTCTGCACTGTGTCTCTGTGTGGAAGTGGCCATCATGGTGGAGGTAGGGCTTTACATCCCTATATCGGTCTCCAGCAAAGGGAACTATGAGCAACACCTCACTCTAAATCTCCTGAGACTTGCAGTCAGAGGCAGCAATGCCTTAGATCCCACACTGCAAACATACAGCTATGAAGCTCTAGGCAGAGGAGTGTCTAGGCACACCAACAAACCAGGAGGTCCATGGCTACTTTTTCTTTTTTTTTTTTTTTTCAGAGGACTTTCAAAAGATCTAAAAGCGGCAGTAGGTTCTTCTTGGTACCAGCAAAGACACACATTTAAAGGTTAAACTAATAATAATATTGATAATAACCTGCGCTAAATGTGATACTTATAGTGAAACAGCAGCTGTTAAAGAATGCAGGAAACATACAATGAAATTAAGAAAACAATATGCAGCGTGAGTTTGCCCACATGTACATAAAACATATAATAAAAATATGTCATCAAATAAAGTCCTTAAAATAAGTCAATGGTGTGTGACTGAAAATTATATAAAAACTCATATCTGTGGGAAGAAACTGTGCCACAAAAGAGAAGAAAATATCCTCCACCACCAACACTCACAGCCTCATACCAGAAAACATGACCACAGGTCATGCGGTCAAAAGAGCATATATAGGGAATCTGTTAAAGCCAAACACCAAGGACAAATTCTGAGGACTTTATTTGATTACATATTTTTATTATATGTTTTATGCACATGTGGGGTGAACTAGCACTGCATATTATTTTCTTAATTTAAAGGCTAAAACCTCATATTTTTACTGCAGAAAGATATATTAAAACATTGCTTGTTTAAAAATCCCTCTGAATAGGCTGTACTACAATCACACCAATGGTGCCATCTCACACCCACAAGCTGTTATTCCAAAGTAAAAGTGAGTCTGTAGTCAGCCAGTCTTGACATGTTTTGTGGTTTCCCACTTCTTTAGGAGTATATTGAGGGAATATAGTTCTATAACAAAACAAAAAATACAACATAATATCTAAATATAAAAAATCATAATACAGCTTATCATAACATAATACCCAGTATCCTGGGGTAAGTGCCAAAACAGTCATCATTTACAATGCACCCCATATTATGTGATAAGATGTATTATGATTTTTGATATTTTCATATTATGTTGTATTTTTTATTTTATAACTATATTCCCTCAATATACTCCTGAAGAAGCGAAAACCGCAAAACATGTCGAGAGTGGCTGACTACAGACTCACCTTTACATTGGAATAACAGCTTGTGGGTGTGAGATAGTATCATTGGTGTGATTGTAGTAAAGCCTATTCAGACTTAACCACTCTACAGGGCACTTATACCCCCTTCCTGAATGACAATTGCGTGGTCATGCAACACTGTACCCATATGAAATTTTTATCATTTTTTTTGTGACAGATAGAGCTTTCTTTTGGTGGTATTTAATCACCTCAGGGTTTTTTATTTTTTCTTAAACAAACCAAAAATCACTGAAATTTTTTTTAAAAAAAAAGTTATTTCTTAGTTTTTGTTATAAAATTTTGTAAATAAGTGATTTTTCTCCTTCACTGATGTGCGCTAATGAGGCTGCAGTGATGGGCACTGATAGCCTGCACTGATGGACACTGATAGGTGGCACTGATGAGCATTGACAGGCATCACTGATGGGCACTGAAAGGCAGCACTAATATATGGCACTGTTAGGCAGCACTGACTGGCACTGATGCACACTGATAGGCATTGATGGATGACACTGAAAGGCAGCTCAGATGGGCACTGATATGTGACATTGATATGCACTGATATGTGGCATTGATGTGGCACTGATAGGCAATGGCACGTGGCACTGATGGACTTTGACAGGTGGCACTGCTGGGGCTACACTAATCATCAGTGCCCTTGATGATCAGTGTACATGTCCCCTCCGCAGAAAGCCGATCATTGGCTCTCCTCTCCTCTCGAGTTGTCAGCGTGACAGCTCAAAAAAAGAGAAATGCCGATAACCGGCATTTCCATGTTTACATGTGATCAGCTGTGATCAACCACAGCTGATCACATGACCGAGCCGACATCTTTGTCTCTTTCCGTGATCGGTGATCCGCTGTGTCCGAAGGACACAGCGCACCGCCGATCGCCGCCCTGCGCGCTCCCTGAGCCGCTCATGCGCGGTGAGAATGGGAGGACGTCATATGATATCCTCTCAGAACGAGAGAACCACCTTGCGCCCGTCATTGGACTATATGGCGGGCGGGAGGTGGTTAAACAAGCAATGTTTTATTATTATATCTTTCTGTAATATAAAAAATATGAGGTTTTACCTGTCTTTGTTGGTAACAAGAAAATCCTACTGTCCCTGTTGTTCTTTAGGTCTTTTGAATAGATAATTAGGATGTAGCTACCTTAACCTTGGGTTAACACCCATCAATACAGAGCACTTGCTGGTTGAAAAAGTAGATTTTGACGTGTACTGCTTAGGCACAAATAACATTTCTAGATGTTTCCTAAAATACAGCAAATTTCTACTTTTGGAGCACAGGTCTAATTTAAAGCTCTGTATCTTCCAAATAATTCTGCACTGGTACACATAATTACCTTTCGCAATCCATTTTACTGTAATAAAGCATCCTGGAGTTCTTAAATGAATCCAGTGTAGGCTTTTCATGTATTCTGCACATTTCTATGTACAGTGTGAGAGTAGGTGACAGTGCTATAGAATCATTATTACTTTTTTATGTTGCTTTTACTATTGCCATTTGTGGGAAACATCATATCATCTCTTACTTTATCCAGTTCATGAGCTCCACGGTATCAGACTCATAGTGTTCCTCCAGTTCTGATAACTCATTGACAATCCTGGGTAAGAACTGTAATTGAAAGCAAACTGTGAGGTAACAGTCTTATTATATTCTACTAAAATGTATGTGGAATAATGAACCATGTTTAATAAAATGCTTCTTTCATTTCTTAGATATAAATGTTAACTTTCCATCTAACCTACAAAATATCAGTAGCTATTACAGACACCATAACTACTGATTTTATCTTATGACTAGTTTTCTTGTTATAAATGACAAATTATTATTATTATACAGTATTTATAAAGCGCCAATAGTTCGCTCAGCGCTGTACATTACAAAGGGGGACAGAACATGTGACAGAACAATACCAATACAATGCAAAACATGAGGGGATCGAGGGCCCTGCTCTTTCGAGCTTACAATCTAGGAGGGAGGGGGTGGTGGCACAGGAGGAGATAGCTGTGGGGGATGGAGTGGTAGGAAGAGTGAAGGAGTTCGGCAAGTTAGCAGGGGGTGGGGTAGGCTTCCCTGAAGAGATGGGTTTTCAGGGTGCGCCTAAAGGAGAGGAGAGTAGGTGATAATCTGATGGGTTGGGGCAGGGAGTTCCAGAGGATGGGTGACACCCTGGAGAAGTCCTGGAGGCGGGCATGGGAGGAGGAGACCAGGGAACTAGAGAGAAGGAGGTCTTGTGAGGAGCGGAGTGTGCGTGCTGGGCGGCGGTACTTGGATATTAGGTCAATGATGTAGTTCGGGGCAGTATGGTGGACAGCTTTGTACGTCAGCGTTAGGATTTTGAATTTGATCCGTTGCGCAATCGGAAGCCAGTGGAGGGATTGGCAGAGGGGGGTGGCGGATACAGAGCGGTTGGAAAGGTGAATGAGTCTGGCAGCCGTATTCAGGATTGACTGAAGGGGGATAGCCAGTGGCGAGGCAGGCCAGTGAGGAGGGAGTTGCAGTAGTCAAGTCATGATATGATGAGGGAGTGGATGAGCTGTTTAGTGGTTTCTGGGGTTAGGAACGTGCGGATTTTGGCGATGTTGCGGAGGTGGAGTCTGCACGAGTTTGTTAAAGATTGGACTTGGGGCTGGAGGGATAGGTTGGAGTCCAGAATGACACCCAGTACTCTGGCCTGCAGGGCGGGTTTGATGGTAGCGTTGTTGGATGTGACGGAGAAATCAATGGGGGGGGGGGGGGTGTCCGGGCTGGGGGGAAGACAAGAAACTCGGTTTTGGAGAGATTCAATTTAAGGAAGTGGAGCGACATCCAGTCTGATATGTCGCTCAGTAGGTGTGTGATTCGGGCTGAGACCAAGGGGGTGAGGTGGGGGGTTGAGGGATAGATTTGTGTGTCGTCGGCATAGAGGTGGTAGTTGAAGCCGTGAGAGTGTATGAGTTGGCCAAGGGAGGAGGTATAGATGGAGAAGAGAAGGGGCCCGAGGACAGAGCCTTGAGGGACCCCAACAGGGGGAGTGAGGGGGTAGCATTATAGGTAACGCTGAAGGAGCGTTGTGACAGGTAGGATGAGAGCCAGGAGAGAGCAGAATCTCTGAGGCCGAGGGAGTGTAGTTTTTTGAGGAGGAGGGGGTGGTCGACTGTGTCGAAGGCCGCAGAGAGGTCAAGGAGTAGGAGCACTGAATAGTGGCCATTAGCTTTGGCGGTTAGCAGGTCGTTAGAGAGTTTGAGTAAGGCAGTTTCGGTGGAGTGTAGGGGACGGAAGCCGGACTATAGGGGATCGAGGAGGTTGTTGTCGTTGAGGTGAGAGCATAGGCGGGTGTAGACTAGGCGCTCGAGGAGTTTAGATGTAAATGGGAGCAGGGAGATGGGTCTGAGGTTGTTCGGGTCATTGGGGTCCAGGGAGGGCTTTTTAAGTATGGGGGTGATGTGTGCATGTTTCAGAGGGGAGGGGAAAGTGCCTGAGGAGAGGGAGAGATTGAAGATGTGGGTGAGGGAGCGTAGGATGGAGGAGGAGGAAGGTCGTAGGAGTTGTGAGGGGATAGGGTCGAGGGGGCAGGTGGTGAGGTGGGCATCAGAGAGGATCTTGGAGACTTCCTCGATGGTAGTAAGGTCAAAGGTGCGGAGTGTGGGGGGAGCTTCAGTATGAGGAATGTAGGGTGGGGTGGAAGAGGAGGTCAGAGCAGTGGTGGTGGGGCCGTGGGAGAGGGTGATGAGGGGGTAGCTGAGTGAGGGTGAAGGGGGTTGGAGAGAGTTTGAGCAGCGACGAAGTCCCTGCGGGTTATGTCGAGGGGGAGGGGGGATAAGGGGGTAGCTGTGTGAGAGGGGACGGGTTGAGAGGTGTGTGTGAGTTGCGGCAATGTCCTTGCGAATTGTGTCAATCTTGTTTTTGAAGTGATTGGCAATCTCAAGGGCAGTGAGTGAGGTGCTGGGTGGAGGTGGGGGTGGAGAGAGTAGAGAGTTGAAGGCAGAGAAGAGTCGGCGAGGATTGGAGGAGAGGGCCTTGATGAGGGTCAAGAAGTAGGCCTGTTTGGCAGCATGGAGGGAGGAGGTGTAGGTGCGGAAGGCAGATTTATAGCGGGTGAAGGCTTGTTGGGATTTGGTTTTGCGCCATAGTCGCAGTTCATGTGCCGTTAGATGTGTCCAATTTCTACCTGTGATAGGTACAGCTTTAAATTCCAATTTAATATCTGAACACTGAGAAGAAAAAAATCTCATTTAAACATCTACCTCAATAGCCACAAAAGGATATAAATCCACGTTGTGTGCACCAAATGCCAGTGCAAGCCTGCTTTTACTTTGTAAAAGTAGCAGTAACATCATTCCTCTGCTGTATACAGTATATCCTGTGTACAGAGCAGACCTGTGTAAGGAACCCAAGAGGTCCACCCATTATCTGTCTAAAACTACAGGAGGGGTGGATAAAAGACCATCCCCCTGCACAAGGAGAGAGCGCACCAGTGACTGGTCTTTAACATAAGAAGCTTCTGGGCAGAGTTTCGCACTGGATTACTGCACAGATCTGGAAGAAATACACACCAAGATATAAGTAAGAAAACTCATCCTCTTCTATTTAGACAATATTTGCTTTTTCTGTAGTTCATTGCAAAGGTTTTTTGTTTTTTTTTAAACTAACTTGTTATACTTGCTTGCTCTTTGCAATGGTTTTGTACAGATATGCCCTGATCCTCTTCTTCTGGTGCCTCCCGTTGGCGCTCTGAGCTCTTCCTCTTCTCCGTTCGCCACTATAACAAGCCACATCCTATGGGGGCTCAATCCTGAGCTATGCAGTGTGTGTGTCTATTGACAAAACACAGTGTGGCTTAGCCCCAACCCCCACTCCCTCATCACTGGATTTGATCAACAGCCAATGGCTCCTGCTGCTCTTCCTAATTCCAGTGACGGAGAAAGAGAGCAGCACCACTGCTCTTAGGCTCAGTGCTGGATTGAGTTCGGGCTCAAGTAAGTATTTATGGGGCGGCTGGGGGTGAGGAGCTGCATTTAAAAGGTTTTTTACCTTAATGCAGAGAAAGGATAAAGGTGAAAAACCTGAAAGCGGTGTTAAACCCAAAACAAAAATGTATTTTATTGCAGCTTACCAATCATTAGATGTGGCCACTGCATAAGTTATCTTTTATTTGGCTTTTTTCTCCACTGTTTTCACCTGGTGATCTGGCCAATAACACACCTCCCGTATTAGTAAAGCATGACTGTGGATGAATGAGCACAGGAGGCACAGCCCCCAGCAGCATCATCGGTCTTGGGGGAGGGTAGTTTTAAATGTATTAGTAGATTTGAATACAATAACAAATTGAAGCCAAACTCCAGCTCACACTTTATAATCAATCAGCGAAAACAGTTTTTTCCTTTTGGGATAAAGGGTTTACCTGAATAAATAAAAGCTGAAAATTTTAATCACCCTGCCAGTGGTAAATGGATTGCCTCATCCAAGTAACCTGATGCATTCTGCTGGAGAGCTTGTGTTTTTGAAAAACAACAGACTTGCTGGCTGGATAACCAGATGAAAATATAAGAAAGCCAAAAAGTAATCTAATGCAACCATCATATCTAAGAATTGGTAAGCTGCGATATAATAAATTATTGTTTTTGGGTTTAATAGTGCTCGATGCATCTACAACCTCTTTAAAACAGGAAAACTCTGCAAAGTTTTAACTGACGTTTTTCCCCCTACTTCATGAAGTTAGAGGACAGGAAGAGAAGTAAGATCATGGCACTGGTGACACGGCTCGCAACAAAACCTTTGTGGTAGAATAATGACATTTGAGAATGTCTTGGCATGTTTTAGCTTATGCATGTAGTTTCCTGCCCCAGTGATCCCCCCACCCTCCCCATTTTGTCCTGGCCTAATGGAAAAGGAGGGGAAATCTCCCCACTGATGTTATGAGCACTGATAATAGTCCAAAATTTGTTCCAAGGGCCCATCCCAACTTTACGTTGTCCAAAACTATAATTCCTGGAGTGGGTGGTGTCACTGTCAAACCAGCTCAGAGATTTACAATAGAATGACAAAAGGCATCATGAGAGCTAATCTTCAAAAAATAAATTAACACCTTCATGACAGAGGGCAAAACAAATCCTACCGCCCGATCACAACTTTTTGCAACTTTGACATGTGTTTGTAAAACTGTACATATCATCGCAACTACTTTAAGGAAATGTTTACCTTTAAAAAAAAAAAAAATAAATAATAAATACACTTTTTACAGGTAAAAAATGTGCAGTTACCATTTTTTTTTGGAAGCCTGAAAAGAATTACACCAGCGAGCAGCAGAACGCTGGTGCCATGCAAGGCTCTTGCAGACGGGCAGGCAGTTTCACAATGACAAGGAGAATCAATGAAGGACTAGAGTGCTCAATAGCGTACTGTAGTTCATTGGGAACTACAAGCTGACAACTGCAAAGAGTGTTGGTACTTGCAGTTCATTCATTCACAAAACTCTATGAATGAATGAAGCGGCTGTGCCCTTTTCAAAAAGTGACATGTGGTATGGGGAACTTCCACAAGTACCACTGTCACAGAGAGGCAGTGGATCGTTGAGCACCTGCAGGAGCAGGAACATGTTATAT